CCTCAAGAGATCCTCCTTGGCTGGGTGTGGTGGCTCACGCCTATAATCCAAGCACTCTGGGAGGCTGAGGCAGGCGGATTGCTCGAGGTCAGGAGTTCGAAACCAGCCTGAGCAAGAGCAAGACCCCATCTCTACTAAAAATAGAAAGAAATTAATTGACCAACTAAAAATATATATACAAAAAATTATCTGGGTATGGTGGCGCATGCCCGTAGTCTGAGCTACTCGGGAGGCTGAGGCAGTAGCATCGCTTAAGCCCAGGAGATTGAGGTTGGTGTGAGCTAGGCTGATGCCACGGCACTCACTCTAGCCCAGGCAACAAAGTGAGACTCTGTCTCACACACACACACAAAAGAAAAAAAAAACACGAGAGAGAGATCCTCCCATCTCGGCCTCCCTAATGCTTAGGATTATAGGTGTGAGCTACCAAGCCTGGCTTCAACTCTTCTTTACATGATGTTATTCACTGACATTTCATTAGGTAGAATATTGTAATTAATTCTTATACTTTTATTTATTTATTTAATTTGAGACAGGGTCTTGATCTGTTGCCCAGGCTGGATTTGAAATTCTGCACTCAAGTGATTCTCCCACCTCAGCCTCCCAAGTAGCTGGGACCATAGGTGAACATTGCAACCATTGTGTTTTTGTTTTGATTCATAACAAGTAGAAATTCATTTATCAGTTGATGGATGCCAAATGCCAAACTCTAGTCCAAGCTACTGAATAAAACTCTTCTCTGCTAACTGTATCTACCCCACACTGAACACTGGGGCACTGAGGGAGAGGCGGGAAGCCCCCTACCTGCTTGGATTCTGCTAGCAGAATTATCACAATGGGTCCCTTTTTTGGCTTTTAAGAAAGTCCTGTTGAGTGAGTGTAAAATAGGTCTCTATATCAGTGAGTTGTTACACTAACAATGGTGGCTACATTACTGTTAAGCTTAGTGCACCAATGAGAATTCCAGTGATGTGTAAGAAGAGAGATTATTTTTGACCATTGCATACTTTGTTAAAAGCAGTTTTAAGGAGTGCTAATCTCCAGTAAGATCCCTTCACTATACACAGATCTGCTCACTGAGCTATTCTTCAAAGTAAAAATTATACTCTATTTGGGCCCTGGTAACAGGCTAAGCATTGCTATTGACACGGGTGACTTAGCATATGCTATCACATCCAAAACACTAAGACAGCATTGGTGAGTACAGCTGAACCTTGAACAACTTGGGGGTTAGGGGTCCTACCCCTAAGTCAGAAATTTGTGTACAACATTTGACTCCCCCAAAACTTAAATACTAATAGCCTTACTAATGACCAGAAAGAAGGCTTACTGATAACATAAACAGTCGATTAGCACGTTTTGTATCTGTATCACATACTGTATTCTTACAATAAAGCAAGCTAGAGAAATGTTACTAAGGAAATCATAAGGAAGAGAATATATATTTGCTATTGATTAAGTAGAAGTGGATCATCATAAAGGTCTCCATCCTCTTTGTCTTCTCACTGAGTAGGCTGAGGAGGAGGAAGAGGAGAGTTGGGGCCTGTTCACTGAAACAGGAGAGACTTAACATGGACATACCTGCCAGGAAAAATGGGCTTTCTTTTCTTTCAAGAACAAAACACAAGAAAGGGAATTTGGGTCATACTTGGGAGCTACAGTGATGTAGGGCTGCTGGGAACATTTGGACAACACAAGACTCCACATTTAAGGGACTGCCATTCACACAACAAACCTCATTGGTTTGTATGTTTATTATGATAGTTTTCTGGCAGGTATTCAGTCAAGTGTCTTATTCTAACAAAACATATATATTAAAATAATGTTCTGACAGATGAAAGTCAAAGGTTGGAAGAGCACATTTTGCTAATTTGCACAAAGATGTTGTATGGAAATAACACCTAGGAACTTGGAGATACAGAGCCTGCCTTCTAGGAGCTGCCCTTTAAAAAGAATAGAGGCCCCAGGGCCGCCTCCTCTGAGACAACCCCTGCGATTTCACTCTCTAAGCCTGTGGTTCTATTAATCACTGGACTGGAACAAATTGGCCTTGTGTTGTTTTTTTTTTTTTTCTAGAATGAAATGTTGGCCTTGTGGTTTGTCCATCAGTCCTGTGGCTCTGGCTGATGGAAGTCTCCAACAGAGATGGATCCACTCTGGGGTTCTGAAAAGTCATGTTTCTGAGGAGAAGACCCTGATCCAATGTGACTATTGAAGCCCTATCTCCTTTTAGGACAACACCCTGGGTTCCTCTTGGTGAAGCGGGTTCCAGTTGGCTTCATCCTAAGAACCATGAGAGATTTTTGTTAAGCATGCAGCTTCCTAGGGCCCAACCCAGCAGGTCTGAGGTGGGCCCACACATCTTTATGGTTAGCAAGCCTTCCATAATCTGTCATGGGAGTTTAAAGAAAAAACAAAAAACAACAAGCAAACCAGCATTCCAAGTGACTCTCATGTCCAGGTGAGTTTAGGAAATCTTGTTCTAAAAAGGTTTCTGACGGGAATAGTGAAATCATGTTAACTTTAGCTCAGTCACCTTACCTTATGGATGGGGAGGGGTGTGGGAAAGCCAGAGGCAATACCCAAATTCAGGAAGCCTTGTATGTGTGGTGGGGAGTGAAAAAGAAAACCCTAGGGAGACGGATCCTGTATTCTGCCTTTCCTAGGCTGGGCTGGGAGAAGCTGCCCGCTGGCGCGGGCTGGGCAGAGAGCTAGTGAGTGTGCACCGCCTGGCCCTTGGGAGCAGGCAGTGGGCTCACCATGCAGCAGCCACAGGTCAAAGAGCAAAGCAGTCACAGTGCTGCATGCCCTCAGGTCTGGGATTGGGCCATTGGGTCAACACCCCAGTGAGGGTTAGGTCTTTGTCTCGTCCTACTTTAAGAATCAATGAAGCTCTGGGGGCAGAGGTAAGCCAGGCACTGAAGTGCTGTGGGTTAGTGACAGGATGGGGGAATCAGACTCCTAGAGCCCAGGGAGCTGAAAACAGATCCCCGTCCTGGGTCCCACCCCCCAACCTCCAGCCATGCTTGGAATAAAGTCCAGGACAGGACTGCCTGTCAGCCCCTTTAACAGGGGGGGAATCAGTCCTGGAAATGAGAAGGTGGGGCTAGACCAAAAACGTGTCCTACAAGGACCTGTTCTAAGCCTCAATAGCCAAAGGAGAAAAAGCTTCCACTTTGCTTCCCTCCACTCTCTATGGCCTTGGTGGCCCTAACCTGGGGGAGCAGAGAGGCTGGGTCCAGGCTATGAGGGGGCCCCTTGCTCCCAGGAGTTTGGACCCCAGAGCCCCTGTACTAGGTTCAGGGAGCTATGAGCAGTAAATCCACTCCCACTCACCAGACCCAACCCTGGGAAGCGTGGAGGGGAGTCTTACTGTGAGTGCTTATAGAGGGTGCAGTTCTGACTGGACTGTCTGCCGTTCTCTCCTTCCAAGAAGCACCTGTTGCTTCCTATTTTCCTTTTAAAAGGTGGTGGTGAGGCCGGGCGTGGTGGCTCACACCTGTAATCCTAGCACTTTGGGAGGCCGAGGAGGGCGGATTGCTCAAGGTCAGGAGTTCGAAACCAGCCTGAGCGAGACCCCGTCTCTACCAAAAATAGAAAGAAATTAATTGACCAACTAAAAATATATATACAAAAAATTAGCCGGGCATGGTGGCGCATGCCTGTAGTCCCAGCTACTCGGGAGGCTGAGGCAGTAGGATCGCTTGAGCCCAGGAGTTTGAGGTTGCTGTGAGCCAGGCTGACGCCATGGCACTCACTCTAGCCTGGGCAACAAAGTGAGACTCTGTCTCAAAAAAAAAAAAAAAAAAAAAAAAAAGGTGGTGGTGGATTAAGGCCAGGAAACCAAACCAGTTCGATGTGAACTATACTGTCAGTGCCAGGTGTTGGGGAAGGTCCTGGAAGCTGTAGACACTAAAAATACAACGCACTTGGAATCTGGAAACCAGAATCTGAGTCCCAGCTACACCATTCATTAATAGTAGGACAGCTGGGCACGGTGGCTCACGTCTGTAATCCTAGCACTCTGGGAGGCTGAGGCAGGAGGATCATTTGACACCAGGAGTTCGAGACCAGCCTGGGCAACATGAGACCCCATCTTTACAAAAAACTTAAAAAGTAGCCAGGTGTGGCGGCACATGCCTATAGTCCCAAATATCCAGGAGGCTGAAGTGGGAGGATCACTTGAGCCCAGGAGTTTTGAGGTTATAGTGAGCTATGACTACGCTACTACAATCCAGCCTGGGCAACAGAGTAAGATCCTAACAAGACAGAAAAGAAAGAATGAAAAGAAAGAAAAAACTCAGTAGGACCTTGGGCACATCACCTGACTTGAGCCTGTTTTCTCTTCTATGACATGGGGCTACCAGCACCCACCTCACCAGTGTGTTGTAATGGTTAAAGTACTGTGAATAGTACAACTGTCATCACTATTGCTACCAACTGCCTTGATCCCTGCCCTCAGGACAAACTGGGGAGGGGCTGAACATCCCGCCCCTTCTACCTAGAGGCCAGCTTCCCTATTCCTCCCCTGGCCCTGAAGAATGGAGTATAGCCAGGTGATGTTGGGAGACTGGGATGTCCTCCCCTCTGGGTTCCCGGTATGATAGTTGGGAAGAGCAGAGTGAGCAAGTGTGGTTATCAGAGAACAAGGTTCAAGACCAACAGGCAGGGAGGGGCAGAGACCCAGTAAACACTTTACACAACACATGGGAGGCCTTGGAGAGAGAGGAGAGGCAGGAGAGAGGGAGGAAGGAGGGCAGCCAGGTGCCCAGGACACAAGGGAGTAGCATGAGCCGGGACAGTGCATTGTGCTGGGCCTCACTCCAAACAACCCTGGGCCTTCCCTGCACTTGCTGTTACCAACAGTTGGCAGGTTCAGCCTCAATAAGGGAGGACAGGAGCAGCCTCCCCCTCCTCAGCTCTAAAGGCTGGAAGGTGAGGTGCAGGGAAGAGCAACAGGGGATCCCAGGTACCTCTGAGGGCTGAAGGGGACTCAGAAATAGGAACCAAAAGGCCAGAAGGTTTTTACTCTGTGAGCCCTGCGGAGGGCCGGGCAGAGTGCAAGGTGTCCACAGGAGGGGTGAGCACGAGGAGGAGCTGTGGGGCGCTGCAGTCTTGCTTCCCTGCGAGGGCAGCAGTGCGGGCAGGAGCAAGGGCAGTGGAGGCCCGGAATGCCTTTCTCACGGGCTCTGGACGGACTCCAGTCCTGGTGCCCAGTTCTGACACCTGCCGTCCTGAGTTCACGCTGGAGTCCTTGAAGTCCGGAAACCACATGGCCTGCCTGAAGCCCGCGTCGGGAGAGGAATGCTCGGTGGAGGGTAAAGACCAGCCTGGGCTGACCACGGCTGCTCTGATTTCTTCCTGGGGCTTGTGTCTTTCCTTGGCAGAAGAGGGCACAGCCAAGGCAGGAGGACCTGAAGGTGGCAGAGCCATGTCTGCCTGCTAGAGCCATGCCCCATGCTTCAGCTTCAGAGTCAAGGTCTCGGTACAGCAGACACTGGATTAGGCTCAGAGCTCATCAGGGGGGCTGTGTGGGAGGGGGGATGCCTTCTGAATGCCCTCATCCTCCTCAGGGCTGGGGTCTTCCTCAAGACCACCCAGCTCCTTCCTTTGTTTGCTGCTGCTGCTCCTGCTGCCCGATGCCTTGGCCCTGCTGCTCTTCTTCTTGGACTTCTTCCCTCCGAGGGCGGCTGTGTCCCCCTTCTTGCCGGACCACTGCTCTGCCAGGCAGCCTGCGCGAGGAGGGGACATACTCTCAACACAGGTGCCTCGGGACTGGTTCGCTGGGTGAGGAGGGCACTGATCAGGGAGCCATAGGGAACAGCAACTGGAACCAGTGCCTGACATCAACATCCCTACTTTCCTGCTCACTGCGGCCACCAGGACCCTGGGGTTATCCCCATGGCATGCTGCACCAGGCTCAGGGCCTCTCACCTCACCTTGTCTCACCCAGGCCCCTGAGGGCACAGATCCTCCCATGCCCTCTGATGCCCTCTGTGTCTTCTCCATCCTCTCTGACCCGCTCGCCGGAGGGAGAACAAACAATAAAATCCCTGCCCTGCCTTCCCCAAACCCTTGGACTCACTGGTGTCCTTTCCCTTCAGCACGTGGTTGGCGCAGAGGAATTCCGTCAGGTCCTCCTCCTGGTGGTTCCTGTACCAGTCCTCGATCACCTCCTCAAACTCCTCCACCAGCACGTCGCACTGTTAACCGCAACACCCCATGTTGGGAAAGCCCCAGCACCCGACTGGCTCCTAGGGGAGCTCAGCTAAGCTTCACGACCCTCCGCAAGATAGGCAGGTGGCTGTAATTCACCCAAGGAAACTGAAGGCAGGGAGGTGAAGTGACTTGATTAAAGTCACCCAGCCCTTGGTGGTCTTCCTGAGAGCAGACCAATCCCCACTTGTCTCCCCTCCCCATTGGGCATAACAGCCCCCAGGGGCTGAAGGGCCTGTACCTGCTTCTTGAGGTCAGCCACCTCTGCAGAAGTCTCGTTCCACAGCTCATAGGGGATGTCCATCACCACCTTGACCCCTTTGTGTACCAGGTTGTGTAACGTCTCAAAGGTCTCTGACATGCCCTGGAAGAAGCGACCAGACACGGGAGGCGGAGCTAACTTCTTTACCTCCTGCCCTCCTCTCCCAGTGGTGTCTGAGGATCTAGCTCTGAGAAGTCAAGACCCTCTAAAGCTTCTCATCCTTGACCCTACCGTCCGCTCTCATTTTAGGCCTGTTCCCCACAACCCCTGCACATACACACCCTGACCTGCCTCCCCACTTCATCCTTTCACACAGATCTGCTGTTGCCTTCAGGCCCTTTGATTTTTTTTTTTTTTGAGACAGAGTCTCACTTTGTTGCCCAGGCTAGAGTGAGTGCCATGTTCGTAAGCCTAGCTCACAGCAACTCAAACTCCTGGGCTCAGCGATCCTACTGCCTCAGCCTCCCACATAGCTGGGACTACAGGCATGCCCCACCACGCCCGGCTAATTTTTTCTATATATATTAGTTGGCCAATTAATTTCTTTCTATTTATAGTAGAGACAGGCTCTCGCTCTTGCTCAGGCTGGTTTCGAACTCCTGACTTTGAGCAATCCGCCTCCTTGGCCTCCCAGAGTGCTAGGATTACAGGCATGAGCCACCGCGCCCAGCCTGATTTTTTTTCTTTTTGAGACAGGGTCTCAACTCTGTCATCCTGGCTAGAGTGCAGTGGCAACATCACAGCTCACTGCAACCTCAAACTCTTGGGCTCAGACAATCCTTCTGCTTCAGCCTGCCAAATAGCTGAAACTACAGGCGCGTGCCACCATGCCTAGCTTTTTTCTATTTTTAGTAGAGATGGGGTCTCACTCTTGCTCAGGCTTGTCTTGAACTTCTGACCTCAAGCAATCCTCTTGCCTCAGCCTCCCAGAGTGCTAGGATTACAGGCATGAGCCACCGAGCACTTTGAATTTATACTCCTTTTCCAGGAAGTAAGTTTCTCTTGGCTCTTCCGGCTCACTGTGGTTGAACACACTCTGCCTTGAAGATCAGTTTAATTCAGTTCATAAAGAATGGCCTCATTCTTTGTTTTCTAGCTGCATACTAATCCCACAAATGGCCACGTCAATGTACTTAACCACTCCCCTAATGGTGGACATTTGACTGTTTCCAATTTTTTTGCTATGGAAAAAGATTTTAAATACTTTTTATTTAAAAAAATACAGATTTATTATTAAGTACAAAATGCATATGAATTTCTGCTGCTTCAGACAACAGCCTTAGGTATCTATCCAAGTGGTTTATGACTGATCTCCTCTGCTAGAAGGAAACTCAGGTAGAAGAAAAATGGGGGTGGCAACTATCTTACCATGTGCCAGGCACTGAAGACACAGAGATAAAGAAATATGGGCCGGGCGCGGTGGCTCAAGCCTGTAATCCTAGCACTCTGGGAGGCCGAGGCGGGCGGATTGCTCGAGGTCAGGAGTTCGAAACCAGCCTGAGCAAGAGCAAGACCCCGTCTCTACTATAAATAGAAAGAAATTAATTGGCCAACTAATATATATATATAAAAATTAGCCGGGCGTGGTGGCACATGCCTGTAGTCCCAGCTACTCGGGAGGCTGAGGCAGTAGGATTGCTTGAGCCCAGGAGTTTGAGGTTGCTGTGAGCTAGGCTGACGCCACGGCACTCACTCTAGCCTGTGCAACAAAGCGAGACTCTGTCTCAAAAAAAAAAAAAGAAATATGGGCTTGGGTTGTAAGCAGCTTATTCTCCAGGGAGAGAAGCATTTGTGCGCACAGTGAGTGCACTATGGCACGCAGGCACTCTGGCAGGCATGTAGGGAGGTGCCCTGTGGGCCTGGATGAGGGACTGGACAATCACTGCCCCTAAGTGTCTTCTGACATCTCCCCTGAACCCCCACATTTCTGCACATCCTGGACCTTGCTGAGTTCTCCCTATTCAAGTCCCCATGGGGGTTGCAATCCTGGAGCATTTCTGCCTGTGTCTGAAACTGAGGCAGGACCCTCACGGACAGGCTCGGGTCAGCAGGAATGTGCCTACTGCCACTGAAACGTCAGGCCACTCATGAGGGCAAGAGTGCAAACGGCAATCAAAGAATGGGAAGAGGCAAGGAGGGAAGGTCCCAGGGCATGGTCTTCACATCACACTCACGCCACCAGACACACTCAGACACATGCAGGCCTGGCCGCAGAGGGGATGAAGGACAAGCACAAATCCAACCTTGGCAAACCGGTTGCTGCCGGTCCTCTCCTTGTGCAGGCTGTAGTCCAGGAGCCTCTTGCAAATGGTCTCGGTGACTTCGATTAACCGTAAGTCCCTGCCAAGACAGCAGCACGAGAGGAACTGAGTTCCTCTTCTAGACCCAGTGGGTTATATGGTCTGTCCCTCCAGCCCTGCTGCCCCAACACCTGGGCATCTCACCAACGAGAAGTAAGTCAGAGCTGGAAGGAAGATAAGGCATCTGGTCTGGGGGCTCTGAAATGCAGACCAGAGAGACAATATTTTAACAGCTCTAAGGGAAGGAACTTTTTATAAAGCTAAATGATTCGGGATTTAGATTTTTTTTTTTTTGAGACAGAGTCTGGCTCTGTTGCCCAGCCAGAGTGCAGTGGCGTGATCATAGCTCACTTCAACCTTAAACTTGTGAACTTAAGTGATCCTCCTGCCCAGTATTTAGATTTTTTTTTTTTTGTAGTGACAGTGTCTCAATATGTTGCCCAGGCTGGTCTCAAACTCTTGGCCTCAGGTGATTCTGGAGCTGGCCTCCCAAAGTGCTGAGATTAGGGGAGGGAGCCACCGCATCCAGGAGTATTTAGATTTTTTGATAAAGCAAAATATATTAAATTTTGATGGTAAAATATAATTTCATTTTGAAAGGATGATCATAGCGGCCAGGTGTTTTTGGTTTGTTTTTAATATTTATAACTGGCAAAATAAAAAGTTGGTAATCCTATGTTACCAATATTTTTAAAAATTGCATTGGTCCAAGAAATCCAAAAGTCTGGGAATCACTCATATATATAGTCCAACAGTCTTGCTTTTACAGATGGGAAATCTGAAGCCCCAAGAAGGGCTTTACGCAGGTCACACAATTAGTTGGTGGGGCGGAACCAGCAGGCAAACGTGGGTCTCTGTTAGAGCTGACTCCTGTGCGGTGGGTTTGCCCAGCAGGAAGGGAGAAGGAAAGGCCAAAGCCTCCAGGAACACAGCAGGCCTGGCCAGCGAGCCCCCGTTCACTTACGACTTGGTGTATTTGACTCCAGACGCCTTCTGGTCCAGGATGCCATAGCCAGTGCCGATCACCTCCTTGGTCTTGCCGGTTTCCTCAAAAGCTGACTTCAGCTCCACGGCGACATATTTACACACTGGAGGAGCACAGCACAGCCTTCTGAGTACACATGAATCTAATGGGAGGCAAGCGCCCAGCAAAACAGACCCAGGTGGGGCACCCTTTCCTACACTGGACCAAGTCAACACTCGAGGTCAGGAAGGAGTTAGTACCAGACCACCAAATGGAGTCTGTGAAACCATGGCTCCAAGACCACTGCCCCATGTCTACTCTTGGCTCTTATCCCACTGACTTTGTTTCTTCCACCATGTGCCACCCCCCATCACCCTCAACCCTGTCATTTTACTTTGAAATATTTCATATATACTGAAAAGCTGAAACAGTACAATGAATAACTATATACTTTCCACTTGTATTCAACAGTTGTTAATGATTTGCCACAATCTCTCCAAAATATAATATATAATAATATATCTCGACAATATATACATTGTTTTTGCTAATCTGTCTTGAAAGTAAGTTGCAAATATGATCTTTAACCCCTAACTATGTCACCATGCATCCCCTGAGAATGAGGACCTTCTCCCACATAACCATAAAACAACCATGATACTTGGAAAATGAACAATTCCAACATCATCTAATAGTCCATATTCGAATTTCCCTTATTGTCCCCAAAACGTCTTTTATGGCTGTTTTCTCACTTGATTTTATATGTGTTCCAACCCCAGCTCTCTACTCCCACCAAGTTAATTAGCTCAGCTCCTCCAGATAAGCCCTGCTCCTGCTGTTTCTGTACACTCACTCTCATTTCCTCTTACTCTTCCTCAAACAGTTGTTAAGCAACTCCTATGTGTCAGGCACAGCCTGGGGATACAGAGATAAAAACAAGGTCCTTTCCTTCCAGATACTCAGTCTAAGGGAAAAGACAAAACTATAAACAAATAATAGGGTGCTACCACTGGGGTGTGAAGTGCCTGAAGCCCCAGCAAAGTGCTTAATGCCCTCTAGGGGCTTCTCTGCCCATTCTCCCAACTGCACATTAAAAGCCTCTCTCCCAGAAAGCTATTCTGGACTAATTCCACTTACTCTAGGTTTCATTCTGGGCCTCTGCAGGATCCATGCTCTCCCTAAGGGCTTTTAGTCATCTCCTGTGTCTCTCCACCTAGATTACAAGGGTCCCCAAAGTGTGCATCATGTATTAGAGTTTTTTTTCTATATTTCCCTAGTATGAGACTCTATATATATTGGATGCTTGATAAATAATGCTGACAGAGACTGCGTTTGCAGCCAAGCAGCTTCTGATGCCTTTGAATGAAATATGGTCTGCAGGCTAAATGCCATCAGCAGTTTAACACTGACAGCAGAGTACGGAGAAAACCAATTTACCACAAAAATGTATTTATTTATGCCCTGGAGGCTCACTTGGTGAAATTTTATAACATATACATTAATTGAAGGCTTGGAGAACTTGGAACACATGAAAATTCCTAGTCATAAGCTGGTGATCTCAGAGTCTGCAATGAATTGAGGACATCTCACCTCCCTGGCTCTCCATCCAGAACCATCTGGGCTCCCTTCCCTCTTCTGTCCTGTACTCTGCAAGCTCATCATTTTTCTAGCTCCTTTGCCCCCTTCTCCCACGCCCTCAAACACGTAGTACTCTAGGAGGGGGGAAAGAGAAGATTTAGAACACCCTTTGTCTCTTATAGCCATCAACCACAACCTTGCTTTCCAACTCTTCCACACATTACCTCTTCAAGACATCCTCTGGGGATCCCACCCAGAACCAGACTTGGAGGAGACTCATGGCACAGACCCCAGGCCCTCATGGACATCCACCCACACTTTTTATGGGCGAGTTCTTCTTCTCTGTGCTGAGGCCTGTTCCAGTCAGCTACTGAGCCAGGAGGCAGGCTTTGTGGGCCAGACACAGTCAGCACTTAATAACACAGGTATAATAATAATAAATATAAACAAATAAATATTAAGAGGTGCCTAAGGGTTGGAGCTTGCCAAGCCTTCCTGTGACTGAAAATCTCTTTTAGGTTAATCTTCATCAATTACAAAATGAGGTTAGACTAGAATGATCTGTAAGATCCTGGCCAGCTCTATGCTTCTATGAGTCTGTGAATGCTTCCTAAGGAAAAGAAAATGTGAGCTTCTTAGGCAATGAGAATAATAAGAGAAATAGTATGGGCCCTTTGGTAATAAGATAGAAAACAAAAAGAAGAGGGACCAGAACACCCAAAGGATACCAGTTAGGACTAGAGATGAAGTGAAGAAAAACATCTGACTGTCTATGCAAGAAAGTAAGAGAGCAAGCACAGCTATAACCCATACTGGGTGCTCTACTAGGGAAGTCAGCTTATCTCTGGAGCAGCTCACTTTTAATCTCTCTAATGGAAGGATTATGTGTCTCCAACCACATAATAATTCCCAGTGTTTAGGGAACATCTGGCCTGATATAAACTTTGAATTCAGATGAAATGGATTCATAGCCAAACGTGTGGGAGGTGGGAAGAAAAGAGTGACTGTAAAAGTCTGAGGAGAAAACTGAGAAATGGAGGAGAGGAAAAAGAAGTAGGTCCTTCGATTGCTGGTAAGCTCCCTTTCTTTCTCTGAAGTTCCTCACTTCAACCCCTATGATGGGACTCCATATTCCTAAAATCTTCTTCCTTCACCAACTTCACCCCAGGCTTTACTATTCCCCCAAAGTCACCCCTTAGGCCTCAGACCCTCCTCCTCCTCTGCACACACACATAGCCCCCACTTAATCATATTTATTCCAAAAACATGTATTGGGTACCTACTGGATACTCTGGTAATAACTATCTGAGACAAAGTCCCTGTCCTCAAGGAGCTGTCAGTGGGGGCAACAGACAACTACACTGATTAGTGTGCAGTGAGGGCACAAAGGGGAGAGCCTCAGGTTCTTCTTGCCTCAAGATGAGTCATATGGGTCTTTTCAGTTCCTCAAACTCGTCCTTTGCTTCTTAGCCTGCAAGCTCTACATCTCCATCTCCATCTGTAGGAAACTACATCAGCAGCTTCCTCTGAGTAGGCCCCCTCTTTCCAGTTCTCTTCACCAGCTAACTCCTACTTACTCTTCAGGCCTCCTACATGAAGCCTTCCCTGACTCCCGTCCACACACAGCCTTGGCCCCCTCCACTCCAGACTCCCAAAGCCCAGTACCTCCCCTATCACGGCATCTACTACCCTGGGTTGTAACTGCTCGTTCCTACAGATTTGTGAACTCCAGATGTACCGAGACGGGATCTCTCGCCCACCCTGGTGTCCTAGCGCCCAGCACAGTGCCAAGCACACAGCAGGTTCAATGAACGAACAGACTCCAGAGTTCAGGACCTTCCATCCTCCGACGCTTCCCCGCAAGCCCCGCCCCCTCCGGCAGGCTACGCCCCGCGGGCCCCGCCCCCTCACCTTCGCATTTGCTGGGCAGCCGAACCCAGTCGTTCTCCTCGGCTCCGGCCTGGCCCGGGCCCAGCTCCGGGGCCGGCAGTAGTAGCAGCATCAGCAGCAAGGGGAGAAGCAGAAGACAGCGGGGCGCGAGCTCTGGCAGCCACTCCATGGCCCAGCCGGCCCCGACCCGAGCGGACCAGGCGGCGCTTCCTCCGGCCGCGCGCTGAGCAGCTTCCCCGATGCGCTTCCGGGACTGCACACGTGCCTCCGCGTAACCAGGGCAACAGCGAGCCCCTTGCCCGCCCCCTCCTCTCGCGGCCTCAGCCCGCCTTCAAAGCGGACGAAGGGCTGCGGGGCCGCAGCCAATGAGCTTTCCCGGGGTTTGCCCTCTAGCGAATGAGAGGACGGTCTTTTTTCGGCCTCGGCCAGTAAGAGAACGGATGGTGGCCTCAGCGACCTATGGCAACATCTTTTCCCACCCCCTAACGGAGAGGATGGAAGCGCAGAGCCCGGGGGAAAGTGGGATGCTTTTCTGGCCTGAGCTGGATGGGTTTGGGGGCTCTGCTCCTGGAAGATAAGTGGTAAGGCCGTCTTCGAAGCCTTCTCCGCCTCCTTGAACGTCACTTCCCTCCTGGGGTCATAACGCGGCAACACTTACTGAGCACCGATTTTTAAATTTTATTATTATTGTGTTGTTGTTACAGCCAGTCATTCTAGGCGCTTAGAGTGAGAGGAGGACAACTCAGTCCCAGCCTGCAAGCTTTCTCAGCGCCCTGTAACCCTAGATTTGTCCTAATGAGAACTAGAGCAAATAATTTACTCTAAAAGCCCCAGTTTTTATTTGTATGATGACAAAGTGATCCTCCTAACTGCGTTGTTAGGTTTGCCTGTTGTTGGGAAGCTCAACAAAGTTAATGGAATTAAAGCTTATAGCAGATTGTAAAAGTGCAGGCATTAATTTTTATTTTATTTTATTTATTTATTTATTTATTTATTTATTTATTTATTTTTTTACAGCAGCCTGTATCTGTATACTTATTTATTTTTCTTTTATACAATGTATTTTATTTTATACCTATTTAATTCACCTTGGATCTAGAACATCCTGGGGTTTTATACACTGATCAAATTGCTCTGCTATAGACACTTAAATTCAATAGCAATTTCTTTTCAAATTTATCCATTTTTTAAAAATAGAAGGAGTCTGTATTTAAATCACTTTGGACCCAGCATGTCCTTAGGTTTTACCCACTCATCAAACTGCTGTGCTGTGAGATAGCCAAGTTCAATAGCAGTTTCCTTTAAGGTTGATCCATTTTTGTGTGCTGTCTTAGCAATCTTTGCTGCCTTATCATACCCTATGTGAGGATTGAGAGCTGTCACCAACATTAGAGGCTCGTTCATGAGCTTGTTGATCCTTTCTGTGTTGGCCCGATGCCCACCACGCAGTTTTCTGTGAAGGAAACCGAAGTGTCCCCCAGCAGCCTGGCTGAGTGTAACACATTTTTAATCATCATTGGCTTGAAAACATTCAACTCGAAATGTCCATTGCTGCCTCCAACGGTTACAGCGACACGATTCCCCATGACTTGGGCTGCAACCATAGTCATCGCTTCACACTGAGTGGGGTTCACCTTGCCTGGCATTATACTGCTTCCTGGTTCATTTTCAGGCAAGATCAGTTCACCCAGACCCGACCGAGGACCAGAACCCAGAAAACGAATATCATTTGCAATCTTCATCAGACTGCAAGCAGTGGTGTTCATGGCTCCACTGAGCTCAATCAGAACATCATGAGCAGCCAGAGCTTCAAATTTATTTGGAGCAGTGACAAAAGGCAAGTCTGTGAGTGCAGCCACTTTTGCAGCAACCTTTCCTGCAAAGCCAATTCTAGTATTTAAACCGGTACCGACAGCAGTGCCTCCAGCTGCAAGCTCATAGATTCTTGGCATGGCAGCTTTTATTCTCACCATTGCATATGACACTTGTTGAACATAACCACTAAATTCCTGCCCAAGAGTAAGTGGAACAACATCCTGAGTATGAGTACGCCCAATTTTGATTATCTGTGCAAACCCTTTGGATTTTGCATTGAGTGCATCATATAGCTTCTGCAGTCCTGGTAACATTTCTTCATGAACTTCTACTGCCGCAGCAATGTGCATTGCTGTGGGGAAATTATCATTTGAGCTCTGGCTTTTATTAACATGATCATTGGGATGCACAGGTTTCTTGCTACCAAGTTCACCTCCTAACATTTCAATTGCTCTATTGCTAATGACTTCATTTACATTCATATTTGTCTGGGTTCCTGATCCAGTCTGCCACACCACGAGAGAAAAATGATCATTTAATTTACCTTCAGCTACCTCATCTGCTGCCTTCATCATTGCATTAGCAATCTTTGGATCAAGACCATAATCCTGGTTTACTTCAGCAGCTTCAAGATGCCAAAAGCTTTAATAACTGGGATTGGCATGCGTTCCGTTACACCTCCAATCTTAAAGTTCATTGTAGATCTCACGGTCTGGACGCCATAATATTTGTCATTTGGGACCTTGAGTTCACCAAAGGTATCATATTCTATCCAGAAAGTATTTTGACTCGCCATTCGAGCCACGTTCAGGGGCCAGGATGGAGGGACAGCTGTGCCACTCAAGCCTAGAGCTGAGGCTGAGGCTGGAGCCCACAGGAGGCACCACGAATGCATGAGGATTCGGAGTGCTCGTTACATGGTGCTGAGGAAGCCTGGGTAGATTTCTCTATTTTATTTATTTTTAAGGCAGAGAGTCTTACTCTGTCACTCTGGGTAGAGTGGTGTCATTATAGCTCACTGCAAACCCAAACTCCTGAGCTCAAGCAATGCTCCCCCCTCAGCCTCCTGAGTAGCTGGGACTAAAGGCACATGCCACCACGCCCAGCTAATTTTTTTCTGTTTTCAGTAGTGATGGGGTCTTGCTCTTTCTCAGGCTGGTCTGGAATTCCTGATCTCATGAGATCCTCTCACCTCAGCCTCCCAGAGTGCTAAGATTACAGGCATGAGCCATGGCACCTGGCCCCAATTTTCTTTTTAGTATGTAATCCAAGTTCCTTTTACTGCTCTATTATTTATTTCTTTGGATTGTGAGCTCCCAGAAGGCAGGAACTTGGCTGATGAACCATTGGATTTCCTTTCCAGCTCCCCAGCAACAACAGGTTGCCTGGCACAGGAGATACTCAGTAAGACTCCCATCTGCTGTGTCATTAAGAGGAGCACTCTGGGTTGGGCATGGTGGCTCATGCCTATAATCCTAGCACTTTGGGAGGCCAAATTAGGAGGATCACTTGAGGTCAGGAGTTTGAGACCAGCCTGAGCAAAAGTGAGACCCCATCTCTACTGAAAATAGAAAAAAATAGCTGGGCATGGTCGTGTGCACCTGTAGTCCCAGCTACTCAGGAGACTGAGGCAGGAGGATGGCTAGAGACCAGGAGTTTGAGCTTTTAGTGACCTATGATCATGCCACTGCACTCTACCCAGGTCCACAGAGTGGGACTCTGTCTAAAAAAAAAAAGAGGAGCACTCTCTGGGTCTTTGGGGCTGCTTCAGGCTGCCTGAGCTCAGTGTCCTATGGACACACACAGACCAAGGCTGCTTCTCTGGGAAGTTGTCTGCAAATTGCTCATAAAACTTTGTTCCCCAATACCTATATTTCCTTCCCAGAGGTCGTACATTTATGCTATTTTATAAAGACTTCAAAGGACTGAGGCCTAGGCCATGACTTGTCATTTTCTGATCTTAGCTTCTTGCTCAAAACAACTGTGTTGGAAACAAAGCATATTGGATAGGCAGGGGCTGTGGCATGTGGAATTCTACAGTGTTCAGGATCAGGACACCCTCCTGAGGCCCTCATGTTCTCTAGGCTTGACAAGACTTGGGTAGGCCCAAAGACTGGCCATGGCCTTGATTTACCTAGGCTCAGAAACCCTCCTGGAAAATAACATTAAGCCAGCCACAGTGGGGATGGAGAAACTGGGGCAGAGCCGGGGTGGGGAATTTGGGCATGATGGGGAAAGAGGGGAGCCCTGCTTCTGGAAAGGACAAATGGGCCTCTCAGAAGACAGTTATGGGGGCAAGAATTAACTTGGCAGGAGGCCTGGGCTGAGCATCTGGGCTGACCACTGGGAAGGGACGTGGCTGGAGAAAGTCTAAGGCTACAGCCAAACTCCTCCCTTGACCCAGCCCACCCTCTCCCTCAGTCTGTATTTCAGGGAAGGCGCATGCCCTGTGGGGATGGGGGACAGGTCCATCCCCAGAAGTTGTGGGACACCCCTCCCTGAAGAATACAAAAAATAGGTGTGAGAATCTTATTACAGGCCGGTGAGAGAGGAGCAGTGGAGGAGGCAGTAGGGCTTCCACAGAACAGCAGCTGAGAGAGCACAGAGGCTCAGGGAGACTGGGGGTGTCATTGCTACTGGGGGGGTACGTTGGAGCATAGCTCTCCATCCCCATCTTGGGGGAAGGTACTAAGTGGTGTCATTGATCCAGCAGACTGTCCGTGATACCCAGGGAGATCTGGATTCACACTAGAGCACCCAGAGATTCTTGAGATAATTTCTGGAGAGGAACCCTGGGGAAAGGTTGGATTTCCTGCCAGTGTTTGGGACGCACAGGTTACACTCCACTGTGGGAGCCTCATATTCTATCCGTGCAAGAATCTTGTTTAAGAAACAAAACAAAACCAAAAAAGCCAAACTCTTTAGTACCTGGGTCAGAACTGATGCTCAATGAATATTTGTCAAATGAATAATGGCCCTTAGTTGATTAATAACCTGTAAGTTTGGAATGACCATCTCATGCTTTCGGCATTAGAAACGATCCTGCTACCTGGGAATCCTGGCCCTGTTCACTCCTGTCGAGTCCGTACAAGACTTCACAGTCAGGCCCAGCGCCCACCTTCCTGGCTTCCTGGGCTCCCTGCCTTGACCTCTCACAGAGGTTGGTTGGGCCAGGTTGAGGAGACAGAGAGAGGGCCTTGCCCAGGGCCTGGCTGTGGGGGAAGGAGACAGAGATGGGACAGTTTCCTCCCCAGCTGCCAGCCCACTCCACAGTTCCCCAGGTCTCACTCTCAGAAAGCCCTCTTCTTCCTGGCAGCCTTCCCTGTTTGTGCTTCCTCTAACTGCCAAGTTTCTCCTCCCAGGGCAGATGTGAATTCAAATATTTTTCATTTGCTTGTGTCATTTACGTTCTTCTTTAATTGTTCTCAGTGTCTGCACCTCAAATGCCCCAGTACCTGGGTGGATCCCTCAGTCTGATGGGAGGGACACAGCCTGTTTCCTCCGAAAGCCCTCAGTCTTGGGGGGGGGAGGGCAGAGCCCAGCCCCCAGGAAGCTCCGGCCTGCAGGAGAAGGCAGGTCAAGTACAAAAAAATGCTCCCAGACTTGAGGAAGGAGCAGTGAGGGCGCATCACGAGCACCAGCCCCAAGCTCGGGTGGTGAAGAACGTCCCCTCCTGCCAGACTGAGCTCCTGGGCTGCCGACCCGGACGCGTGTGATCGCCGCGATGGTCGCGGGGCTGCAGCGCCCACAGCGGGCTGGGCGAGCCGGCGGCCTCCCGTCCCTCGGTCACCGCGGCCGGGCGCCGCCGGTGGGGGCGGAGGGCTCGCAGGCGGGCGGCCGCGGAGGCAGGAGACTGCGGCGGGCAGGCGCGGAGGCGGCTGCAGGTCAGGAGCACGTCAAACAGCAGCAGCTTGAAGAGCAGCACCCGCAGCGCCCCCAGCCGCAGCGCCTGGCCCGGCATCCCTGCGCCAGAAGCAGCCGGTTAGGAGCCTGCAGGAGCCCCCAGCCCCAGACAGGGAAGAATGTCCCCCAGACAAGGGCCTTGTCGTCTGCCTTGCCATGCTCTCTCCCCATTGCCTCCCTCCTCCAGGGTAAGTCCTTCCTGGTGTCTAACCTCAGTTCTTACTGGTAATAAGTACCTTCATGGCCTTCATCTTATTTTATTCCCCAACAATCAGGGGGGTAGGGGTGGGAGCCAGGCAGGAATTAGCATCTGATGCTCAAAATTCTCTATTTGGTCAGGAAACAGAGCTGGACGGAAACCGACTTCATGCCTTTCCTTCCAGTGCTCTTTCCACCACCCCAGACAGTCTCCCATCTACACAGGCTCTAATGCCGACATCCACCTGGGCTGCACAAGGAGGGCTGCAAAGACCCCTCTGCTCTGGTCTGATGGTAGCGGTTGATCAGAACTTACTAACATTAGTGTCACTAAGATTGATATACAACCCCTCATTGCTAACTTTGACTGGCTTTAAAAAAATAAATCAAAAAGACCCTTCTGTTAGTTGTCACCTGTGCTTCTCAACTGACGTCCAGGAATTAGGCTGGGATCAGAGGATCCACCCATCTTATCCTAGGGTAGACTGAGGTCCAGGCTACCCAGTGGCCCAACCTAGCAAGGCAGCATCTTCATGGGATGCATGTCAACCCCCTGCACGGGACCTATCAGTTCAGGCTGAATGCCCCACTCTCTAGGCCCAAGGTCCTGGTCCCCAGGCTCTTATTCCCCACCCCTCATCCCAAGTACTCACCTTTGAGAGGCTCCTGGGGGCAGGTCCTGGCTGTAGAAGCCTCTCCTGTGGGCCAAGCATAAGGGAGTGAGTCCCTTATCCAAGCCAAGCCACTGCGTCCCCACATCCCCAGTGCTATGCCCAGGCCCTGGCACAGAGTGTCTTTCAAGGCATGTTGGATAAATGAGCAAAAGAGCCAGCAGCAGAAACCCTGAGCCCATTTGCTGTAAGTCCTCTGAGGGACCCAAATATCCCTCACTCTCCACTGTCCCCTGTTCTGAGCCCTGGGGAGCTGAGGTGGCTCAGTACTTTCAGTACTAAGGAACTGATTCTCTTTAGAAGTCAGGGCATTCATTCAACAAACATTCCCATTTGGAAGATGGCAAAACTGAGACAATCCAGAAAGAGGAAGTAAGTCATCTGGTCAGTGCTAATAATAGCTGACTTTGGACATGGTACTTAACCTCCCTGTGCCTGTAAAACTGAGGGAATAATATGACCTACCCCATAAATGTAAAGTGTTCAGAAAATTCGCCTGACACAGAATAAACAGAGTAAATGATAGTGATTTGTTATTTAATTAGCGTTCGGTCCTTACAAGGTGTATACATGTAGGGTGATACGTATGTGTGTATATCATCAATCCCAAGTGGAAGGAGGCATCATTATCTCTTAGAAGTCATGCAGCAGAGCCTGGGTTTGAACCAGATATTGCAGCTGCAAATCCCAAGATTCACGGCCCTGAGGCTACTCTGCCCTGAGCCCAGGCGTCACCTCACCTGGATGGTCAGCACTTGGACACCCTTCATGCCTTTGTGGACTGGAGCCTGCCCTCCCTCGAACCATATCCTGGTTCTAGTGTGTGTGGAAGGGGACAGGGAACACCCATAGGGTCCCAGGCTCCATCCTCACCTGACAGCTGTAGGGGCTGTGTGCTCCTGCTGTGGCGCCCAGGCCCAGTGTGGCAGACCAGGGGCTCCCATGCTGCCAGCTCCTCAGAGGGCAGGGAGAGCTGGGCCAAGCTAGTCCAGGTGCCATCCGTTGCTAGGGAAGGGCCGTAGGTGAAGGCATCCAGTGCACTGCCATTGCCAGCTGAGAACCAGATGGGGCTGTGAAGGCCAGGGGGTGCAATATCAAGGACCAGGCAGACCACCAGCATCTGCTGCTTCCCATCCACCAGGAGCGTGATTGGTGGGGCCAAGGATGGGAAGGGCGTGCTGCCCACACCTGCAAAAGAGTACGCACCTATAGGTGCTAGCCCAGTCTGTGTCCTCCCAGGCCAGCACGCATTGTAGGCTAGGGTTCTGGGTTTCTATGTTTACATCTATCCTTCCACCATCCACCTACCTACCTTCCACCCACTTACCCATCCGTCCCCGCGTGCATTTACCCATCTAACACCCTTCCTTCTCTTCATCTGTCCATCCTTTCATCCATCCAACCTTTCCTCCATCATCCATCTATTCTTTCTACCTTCCATCTGTGTCTTTCCATCTACTCTTCTGTCCTTCTGTCCACCAGTCTATCAGGTTTGAGCTCCTTTCTGTGCCAGGCACTAGGGATATAACACTGGGTAAGCCAAGGAGCTCAGTCCCATAGGAAAGATGGCAAGTGCATAAACAAATATGCATAACCAACATATAATATGATGTTGTGCCAGCCTCAGAAGAGCGGTTACCTCTGGGGAGAAAGGGAAGGAAATAGGACCTGGAATGAGATCAAAGGGGGCTTCAGATATTTCTGAAACTTTTTGTTGCTTTAAAAAGAGGCCTTGGCAGGCTGGGCGCGGTGGCTCACGCCTGTAATCCTAGCACTCTGGGAGGTTGAGGCAGGAGGATTGCTTGAGCTCAGGAGTTTGAGACCAGCCTGAGCAAGAAACCCCATCTCTACTAAAAATAGAAAAATTAGCCAGGCATGGTGGCATCTGCCTATAGTCCCAGCTACTCGGGAGGCTGAGGCAGGAGGATCCCTTGAGCCCAGGAGTTTGAGGTTGCCGTGAGCTAGGCTGACGCCACGGCACTCACTCTAGGCTGGGCAACAGAGCAAGACTCTGTCTCCAAAAAAAAAAAAAAAAAAAGGCCTGATTCAAAAATGGCAAATGTTAACCATTTGTTACTCTAGGTGGAATGTGAATGGGTATTTGTTGTATTATTCTCAGTTCTTTTCTGTAGGTTTGTAGGTGGTTTTTTTAAAAACAGCTTTGTTTAGATATAATTTACATACCATACAATTCACCCATTTAAAGTACAGGTCTATTATTTCATTATCTTAAAAACTATGTCATACAAGTACTGCAAACATTTGTCCTATATTTTCCAGGATAGTCCTGATTTTCAACAATCTTATTCTTTTCATTACAGATGATTCATTAACTATATAACAAAATGTTATTTTTTAATATTTGGGTTTTTTTCATAATAAATAAATCTCCAATGTTAAAACCTACAAACAAATTCACACCATGAATTAGGTGTAGCTGGGCTAAAGAAATGCCCCAGAGTGCAGGGAAGGATGCCAGAGAATCTTATAGGGAAGTAGGGGTGAAGGGCCCTGGGTAGAGTGCAGTGGCGTTGTCATAGCTCACTGTAACCTTCAACTGAAGTGGTCCTCCTGCCCGAGCCTTCCGAGTAGCTGGGACTACAGGCCCACATCACCAGGCCTGGCTAATTTTTTCCATTTTTGGTAGAGATAGGGTTTTGCTCTTGCTCAGGCTGCCCTCCATCTCCTGAGATCAAGCAATTCTCCTGCCTCAGCCTCCCAGAGTGTTAGGATTACAGGAGTGAGCCACCTCACCCAGACCCCGTTTTTTCCCTTCCTTCCTTCCTTCCTTCCTTCCTTCCTAAATCTCTCCTCCCTCCCAATCAACACACCTGCCCTCCACCTCCTCCCCTTCTCCTCTCTCTTTCTCCCTTAATATCCTCTCTCTTCCTTTTTCTCACTTATATTACATTCATCATACACATATACAACTTTTTCTTTTTTTTTTGAGAGAGTGTCTTCACTTTAATTGCCCAGCTAGAGTGATGCCGTGGCATCAGCTAGCTCACCAGCAACCTCAAACTCCTGGGCCTCAAGAATCAACAAAACACACAAATCCCAGCCTCCGAGTAGCTGGGACTACAGGCAATCGCGCCACCAATCGCCCCGGTAATTTTTTCTATACTATTAGTTGGCCCAATTAATTTGTTTCTATTTATAGTAGAGACGGGTCCAGCATCCTCACTGAACAACAGGTGACTCCTCACTTCGAGCAATCCACCCGCCTTGGCCTCCCAGTGTGCCTAGGTTACAGGCGATGAGCCACCTCGCCCCGGCCTTCCTCTTCCTTTCTCCTCCACTTTCTCTCTCTTTTCCTATCTCCTCTCTTTCTCCTCTCTTTCTACTCTCTCTCCCTCCTCCCTCCCCCTCTCCCTCTTCTCTCTTTCTTTCTCTTTCTTCTCTTCTCTCTCTCTCTCTCTCTCTCTTTCTTTCTTTCTTCTTTCTCTTTCTTTCTTTCTTTCTTTCCTTTCTTCTCTTGCTCTGTTGCCTGGGTAGAGTGCAGTGGCATCAGTATAGCTCACAGCAACCTCAAAATCCCAGGCTCAAGTGATCCTCTTGCTTCAGCCTCCTGAGTAGTTAGGACTACAGGCATGAGCTGTTGTGCCCAGCCAGTTTCTTAGAGGTCAGATAACTAGCCTGGGAACACATGGATGGTAAGTTGTCAAGATTTGAACTCAGATTTCTGTGACTCCAAATCCCATAGATCACCTCATCCTGAAGAATGACTAAGATTTTGCCATGTGACACAATCTAGGACATGACTGAGCTAGGGTTGACTCCAGACTCTTTCACTTAATTTTCTGAGTCTCAATGATTCCATCAAGATAAAGGGTTAGGAACATCAGCCCAGTAAAATTGCTATGAAGAGTAAAGATCATAAATGTAAAATGATCTGGCAGGTAACCATTAGTGCTATTATCGATATTAATATTCATAAGGCTTTGCAAATGAAATGAGTAGAGAAGGCTGGGAGTGAGCTCCAGGACCCTCAACCTCTTGAGCCTTTTCGGTTATACAGATAGAGACACCCTGCAAGTTGAGTTCAGGTTCCACCTCCTCAATGAAGCCTCCCAGGATTGTTCCTACTCACCCTGGAGCCACGGGCTCTCCCTGGTCCACATGGGTGTGGTTTATCTCCCTAGCGAGGGTGCGCCTATAACATACCAGGGGCCAGCTTTACCAAGGAGACTTCTTGACTCAAAAACCAAGGGCCTTCCCCCACCACACACATGCAAACATGCATGTGTTTCTAGATGAAGGTGGAAATCTCCCCTCAAAACTTAAGTCCTGGCCGGGTGCGGTGGCTCAAGCCTGTAATCCTAGCTCTTGGGAGGCCAAGGCGGGCGGATTGCTCAAGGTCAGGAGTTCAAAACCAGCCTGAGCAAGAGCGAGACCCCGTCTCTACTATAAATAGAAAGAAATTAATTGGCCAACTGATATATATATATAAAAAATTAGCCGGGCATGGTGGCGCATGCCTGTAGTCCCAGCTACTCGGGAGGCTGAGGCAGGAGGATCGCTTGAGCCCAGGAGTTTGAGGTTGCTGTGAGCTAGGCTGACGCCACGGCACTCACTCTAGCCTGGACAACAAAGTGAGACTCTGTCTCAAAAAAAAAAAAAAAAAACTTAAGTCCTTTGGCTCTAGCCTTGCTCTTTAGAGGGCTAGGGATAAATACCCCAAGACGGGGCTTTGGGACCTTTCCTGAGCCCATTGATAAGGAGGAGCTGGGAGTGAATTTGAGACACCCTGAGTCCTGTTGGAACGGGGCACCCTGAGGACAGGAAGGGAGGTGACCTCACAGTGTTGCCCATGTCCCATCCCTCCAAGTCACATAACAGAGCCCTGGCTACCTTAACCCCCAGCTTCTATGGAAACCCATCCAGTTTGCTCTTATTGCTGTACCTCTCCAAGAGGAACTGCCTTTCCTACCAACACTGTGGACTCCAGGGCAGGAGGACTTGGGGGCCCCAGAGCAAGGTGGCTGGAGGTAGAGTACCAGGAGAAGGGGACAGTGGGCTTCTGGTGAGACCCTTTCCAGGGGTCCATAAATGGCTTCTTATCCTGCCTCCTTGCATCCCATCAATACCCAGGGAGGCCCAGAGTGAGGGGATGGGCTTGGGCAGACCAAGGGGGACAGAGAAGAGTGAAAAGAAGGGGCTCACCTGTGGGCAGGGCTGGACACCCAAGGGCCAGGAGAAGCAGCAGCCATGTCCCAGCCATGGCCCACCCAGAAGGAGGCAGGACCCAGCTGCAGACCTGAGCTGTGGGTTGGGGGAGGCACCCACAAGACTCCCTCCCAGGCCACAGGCCCAGCTGCACCTCAGCTGCTCCGCCACAGAGCCGTTTCCCTGGGTGACGGCCCCTCCTGCAACCCCTGGTCCCCAAACCCAGTCTTCTCTCACGGGCCAGGGAGCTCAGGGTGCCACTCCCACACCAGGCCCCAGGTGCTCACATTCCCTCCCGTCTGAATAGCAATTGAGTCTGCAAAGCCTTTTCCTAGTCACTGGCCTCGCTAGAGGGCAACTGCCACCCACAGGACACAGAGCACCAGGTGGCTGCATGTAAGGGGCTTGGAGTACAGCACCTTATTTGATCCACGCAACCACTGTGAATTCCAATCCCCAAGTGTGGCCACTGAGGCTCAGAGACATTGAGTGACCTGCACCAGGCCACACATCTGGCAGGTAGCAAAGCCAGGGCTTAAACTGTTTCTTATGGTTGGCTTTGTAGGCAAAAAGCTGTCCAGTAACTTCTTACAAAACCCCTTCTAAAATAAACTTTTTTTTTTTTTTTTTGAGACAGAGCCTCACTCTGTTGCCTGGGCTAGAGTGCAGTGGTGTCACCATAGCCCACTGCAACCTCCAACTCCTGGGCTCAAGGAATCCTTCTGCCTCAGCCTCCCTAGTCCAAAGTGCTAGGGTTATAGGTGTGAGCCACTGCCTCTGGGCAAAATAAACTTTGTAACTCATTTTCAGTGACTTCTTTAAATTATAGCTATAACTGTCATTTTGATCCTGAAATTTCACATCTAGGCACGTATTCTAACGAAATAATAAGTCGTTCAGTCATCATGAGACAGAGATTTAGGCACAAAGATAATCTTTTAAGTATCATATGTAAAAAGCAAGACAGGTCGGGCCCAGTGGCTCACACTTGTAATCCTAGCACTCTGGGAGGCTGAGGTGGGAGGATTGCTTGAGGCCAGGAGTTTGAGACCAGTCTGAGCAACATAGTGAGACCCGCATCTCTACCAAAAAAAATATAAAAATTAGCCAGGCATGGTGGTGTGGGCCTGTAGTCCCAGATACTCGGGAGGCTGAGGCAGGAAGATCACTTGAACCCAGGAATGTGAGATTGCAGTGAGCTGTGATGACACCACGGCACTCTAGCCAGGGCAACAGGGGAAGACTCTGTTGCAAAAATAAATAAATAAAAATAAAATAAAAATAAAACATTGGAAACAACCTAATGGTTCTTTTTTAAATCCTGTTTTCAAAGACTATTGAATAACACGGGATGTAGGATAGAGTTTGGTTCAGAGGGTGGACTGTGAAGCCAAACACCTGTATTTTGATCCTGACTGCGTCATTTAGTAGTTATGTGACTTTTAGCAAATTACTTCCCTAATCTTTAATTTCCTCATTTGTAAATGAGGATGACACCTCAAAAGGGTCCTGCGATTTTTAAACAAGATAATTCATACACATGGTTTAGCACAGTTCTTTTTTTTTTTTTATGAGACAGGCTAGAGTTGCCCAGGCTGGAGTGAGAGCTGTGGCATCAGCCTAGCTCACAGCAACCTCAAACTCCTGGGCTCAGGCAATCCTCCTGCCTCAGCCTCCCAAGTAGCTGGGACTACAGGCATGCACCACCATGACCGGCTAATTTTTTCTATATATATTAGTTGGCCAATTAATTTCTTTCTATTTATACTAGAGACAGGGTCTCGCTTTTACTCAGGCTGGTTTTGAACTCCTGACCTCGAGCAATCCGCCTGCCTTGGCCTCCCAGAGTGCTAGGATTACAGGCGTGAGCCACCGCGCCCGGCAGCAAATGCTTTTTAATTTAATCAGGTCCCATTTACTTATTTTTATTCTTGCTGTGATTGTCATTGGGATCTTTAAAAAATTTTTTTATAATAAATTAATAAATAACTGGCTAATTTCTTTTTATTTTTAGTAGAGATGGGTCTTGTTCTTGCTCTGGCTGGTCTTAAACTCCTCACCTCAAGCAATCCTCTTGCTTCTGCCTCCCAGAATGCTAGGATTACAGGCGTGAGCCACCTACCCTGCTAGGCTCCCATTGGGGTCTTCTTCATAAATTCTTTGCCTAGGCCAATATCTAGAAGAGTTTCCAACATTTTCTTTTAGAATTATTATGGTTTCATGCCTTATATTTAAGTCTTTTATCCATTTTGAATTAATTTTTGTGAGTGGTAAGAGATATGGATCCTGTTTTGGCTGGGAGGCTGAGGCAGGCGGATTGCTCAAGGTCAATAGTTCGAAACCAGCCTGAGCAAGAGCGAGACCTTGTCTCTACTAAAAATAGAAAGAAACTAATTAGCCAACTAATATATATAGAAAAAATTAGTCAGGCATGGTGGCGCATGCCTGTAGTCTCAGCTACTTGGGAGGCTGAGGCAGGAGGATCGCTTGAGCCTAGGAGTTTGAGGTTGCTGTGAGCTAGGCTGACGCCACGGCACTCACTCTAGCCTGGGCAACAAAGGGAGACTCTGTCTCAAAAAAAAAAAAAAGAGAGAGAGAGATGAATCCTATTTCATTCTTTTGCATGTGGCTATCAAATTTTACCAGCACCATTTATTGATTGAATAAGGCTTCTTTTCCCTAGTAAAATTTACCATCTTAACCTTTTTTGGGGGAGAGGTGGTACAGGGTCTTGTAATGTTGCCCAGGCTGTGGTGCAGTGGCCAGTCACAGATGTGGTCATGGCACACTATAGTCTCGAACTCCTGGCCCCAGCCTCCTGAGTAGCTGGGACAACAGGTGTACCCCCGTGCCTGCCCATGTTAACCCTTCGTAAGTGTACATTTCAGTGAAAATTCACGTTGTTGTACAAGCACCACAATCATCTATCTCCAGAATTCTTTTCATCTTGCAAGAGTGAAACTCTATACCTTGATAATCACCAATTTACTGTCTTTTTGAATTTGACTACTTCATCCAAGTGAAATCATATATATTTGTCTTTTTGTAACTAGCTTAGCATAATACTTAGCATAATATACTTGTTTCATCCATGTTGTAGCATGTGTCAGAATTTCCTTCCTTTTGAAAACTGAATAATATCTCATTGTATGTATGTAGCACATTGTGCTTATGCATTCATCTGCAGATGAACAGTTGGGCTGCTTCCAAGTTTTAGCTATTGTGAATAATACTGCTGTGAACACAGGTGTACAAACATCTCTCTAAGACCTTGCTTTCAATTCTTTTGTCGATAGGCCAAATAGTGGAATTGCTGGATCCTATGTTAATTATATTTTAATTTTTTTTTTTTTTTTTTTTTTTTTGGAGACAGAGTCTCACTCTGTTGCCTGGGCTAGAGTGCCGTGGCGTCAGCCTAGCTCACAGCAACCTCAAACTCCTGGGCTCAAGTGATCCTACTGCCTCAGCCTCCTGAGTAGCTGGGACTACAGGCATGCGCCACCATGCCCAGCTAATTTTTTCTATGTATACTTTTATTTTTTATTTTATTTATTTATTTTTTGAGACAGAGTCTCGCTTTGTTGTCCAGGCTAGAGTGAGTGCCGTGGCGTCAGCCTCGCTCACAGCAACCTCAAACTCCTGGGTTCAAACAATCCTCCTGCTCAGCCTCCGAGTAGCTGGGATACAGGCATGCGCAACATGCCAGCTAATTTTCTTATATATATTAGTTGGCCAATTAATTTCTTTCTATTTATAGTAGAGACGGGGTCTTGCTCTTGCTCAGGTCGGTTTCGAACTCCTGACCTCGAGCAATCCTCCCTCCTCGGCCTCCCAGAGAGCTAGGATTACAGGCGTGAGCCACCACACCCAGCCTATTTTTTATTTTTTTTGAGACAGAGTCTCACTCTGTTGCCTAGGCTAGAGTTCTGTGGTGTCAGCCTAGCTTACAACAACCTCAAACTCCTGGGCTCAGGCAATCCTATTGCCTCAGTCTCCCGAGTAACTGTGACTACTTTCATGCGCCACCATGCCTGGCTAATTTTTTCTATATATTTTAGTTGGCCAATTAATTTTCTTTCTATTTTTAGTAGAGACAGGGGCTCACTCTTCCTCAGGGTGGTTTTGAACTCCTGACCTCAAATGATCCTCCTACCTTGGCCTCCCAGAATGCTAGGATTACAGGGTGAGCCACCGCGTCTGGCCTCTCTATATATTTTGTATATTTTTAGCTGGCCAATTAATTTCTCAGGCTGGTTTCGAACTCCTGAGCTTGAGTGATCCACCCACCTCGGCTTCCCAGAGTGCTAGGATTACAGGCATGAGCCACTGTGCCTGGCCTATTTTAAATTTTTTTTGAGGAACCACTATACTGTTTTCCATAGCAGCTGCACCATTTTACATTCCCATCAATAGTATGCAAAGGTTCTAATTTTTCCACAACCTTGTGATCCTAATGGGTGTGAAGTGGTATCTCATTGTAGTTTTTTTTTTTTTTTTTTTTTGAGACAGAGTCTCACTTTGTTGCCCAGGCTAGAGTGAGTGCCGTGGCATCAGCCTAGCTCACAGCAACCTCAAACTCCTGGGCTTAAGCAATCCTTCTGCCTCAGTCTCCTGAGTAGCTGGGACCACAGGCATGCGCCACCATTCCCGGCTAATTTTTTTCTATATATATTAGTTGGCCAATTAATTTCTTTCTATTTATAGTAGAGATGGGATCTCGCTCTTGTTCAGGCTGGTTTCGAACTCTGACCTCGAGCAATCCACCCACCTGGGCCTCCCAGAGTGCTAGGATTACAGGTGTGAGCCACCGCGCCAGGCCCTCATTGTAGTTTTGATTTGCACTTTCTTAATGATTAGTGATATTGACATCTAAGGCCTTTGTATTATGAGGTTCTCAGATACACATCTGTTATATTAATTTATGTTCCATCACAATTTTTTTTTTTTTGAGACAGAGTCTCACTTTGTTGCCCAGGCTAGAGTGAGTGCTGTGGCATCAGCCTAGCTCACAACAACCTCAATCTCCTGAGCTCAAGTGATCCTACTGCCTCAGCCTCCTGAGTAGCTGGGACTATAGGCACGAGCCACCATGCCTGGCTGATTTTTATATTATATATATTAGTT